GGTGTCATAGAGACAATGTCGATGGCAATGTCTGTCATGGTAAACACTTTGGTTCTTGAGGTAATTTCTTTTTCCTTTATCTACTGCAGCTGAAGCATGGAAATTCTTTTATGGTGTGGTCATCAATAACTGATCTTATACAAATCTCATCACTGATTATGTTTTGCAGGGATGGCAGCGGAAACTTGATCCCAGGTAAATGTGATGCAAACACTGCTTCTCAAAGCCGACTGGGCAAAGTCCCTTTCCTACACGACCGAGGGGCGCTCCATAAGAAGGTCTTGTCAGTGGTAAAACTATGATTACTAAACAATTTTGACAGTTATAAAATCCAAAATATGCCAATCCCAAGAAGTGGACATGAACATTTAGATCTTTATTCATTTATTCATTTATTTTTTTGTTTTGGAAATTGCAATACGTTTTGAAGGTTCAATCCTTCTGTATTTAGTTTGTTTTTATAAAATTTAAAAAAATAATAATTACTGTTTTTGAAGCCTCACAATTCACATGTAAAAACAGTAGATAGGTAAAAGACAGAAATAAAGTGGAATTCTGTTCTGTTTTTGGTAACCTTGATGTTCCTGAATCTTCCAGTTCTCCTCTATTCTAGATGTGTTCATTTGTTCTAGATGCTTGCAAAGATAGGGTACTGCAGTTTGCCGTTTTTATGATGTCTCAAGTTGATCTTGCAAGGGAAGCTGCCCATTTGTGCATCCTGCTGTTTTGGTGGAAACTTATGAACAAGGGGAATGTGTCGATGATGTTGAAGGGGATGATCAAATTAAATCTGCGCTTGCTCACATTGTGACGCACGCACTTTTGAAGATGCTCCTGGACCTGGTAACATATATACACCTTTGATGTTGCTTGCAATGCATTTATGCTTTTGGACTATTTTGATTGAATTGTGTTTAATCTTTTAAGTATCTTGTTGTGTCTTAAAGTTTGTCAATTATACCAGTTGATATACCTGAATGTGGTCTGAATACATAACAAATCCAGAAAAAAAAATATATAAAAAAAGCTACTATCTTTCTAATATCTTATCCCTAACAGTTCTGGAGATCCGTTTTTGTTCTATCTTCCACCATCTCCTCTCTAAAAATGGGCAAGTAATTCACCTTCAAAGGTTTTGCCTTGTTAGTTTTTCCTTAACAGTTCTGGAGATCCATTGCATTTATCTCATTTGGGTGTTCCTTATTAAATAAGTTGCAAGTTTGATATTTGCTTTTTAAACATATATTCCTCCTTTAAGCTAAGATTATGTGCAAAGAAAGAATTTCATATTAGAATGCTTTTCAATCCAACTTCCCCTGGTAATACTTTCTTGTCTCAAAGCCTGA